GTGAATTTTGGAAAGTTCCCGTGTCATAGGGCGTATTATAAAACTATTTTGACAGAATAACTAAAAGTTAACTTCTGGAATGACGATACTTCTCATAGTATTTCCAGAAGGTAACTTTTACTTACTTAGTTATCTGCAATATAGTTTAATAATACCCGCCCCCCGCTCCTAATCATAACTACAAACCGTCGTGAAATGAACTTTACTTCTTTTTGATATCGATATTACTATGAAAAAATATCGATACTTTCGATTTTTTTTTAAAAACTTCATTCCGAAATAATAATTATTTATTCCTTGTCGATACACATCGATATGACAAATTCGTAATCATTCGTATATGCAATACAATCGAGGGCATTTGAATGGAAGGATGAATAGGATGATACACACCTAAAAAATTGCTTATCGGGCTATCGGCCTCGTTTTTGGTAATCGCCGCCATATTGGTGTGTTACCATTTCCGACGTCAAAACTAAGTCGTCAGCTGTTTAAACAGCCTACATCAAGGCGAGAAATAACATGCTGCCTACGTCACAACTGGTAATTTGGCGGGGGGAAGAGGGGGATTTGTTACACACAGGCCTTATAAGGATAGGCCATCATGTAGTAGTAGTGTATATCATCCTTGATTTGATCGCTGGTCTCTAGCTCAATTTTGTTCCAGTGGAGTACATGATTTTTGGAACAATATCATTGTGTGTATACAGGGTGTCCCACGGTGGATGGCGTATTAGACGTTAATGGAGAACTAAAAAGCGGATCATTTTGAAAATTTGACAACCGGGACAAACGACCATAATCTACACTTTAAAAATATTTTTGTTTATGCGGCGTTGCCGCTTCTACTCTAAACTAGTGACAACATCGCTATTTTTAATGGAACACCCTGTATGTGATTGCATATTTGCATTCTACGTCAAATTCTGAGCAGATTTTATGTGATATACCCTATACCTAAGTTCAACTGTTTTGGAAATATTGACAGTTGAAAATTGACTTTTTGCCACTTTGACAGGCTGTAAAACCTAAACGATTAATTTTAGAGAAAAACAGATATTACATTCCTATCTTAGATTTTCATAAACTATCATTTGACACCAACTTTGAACTTAACCGGAGAATAAATTTAACTGGAATTTTTTTATCATGGATTTAATTCAAAGTTGGTGTCAAATGATAGCTTGTAAAAATCTAAGATAGGAATGTAAAATCAGTTTTCCTTTAAAATTAACCGTTCAGGTTTAACAGCCTGTCAAAGTTGCAAAAAGTAAATTTTCAACTGTCAATATTTCCGAAACAGTTGAACTTAGGTATAGGGTATATCACATGAAATCTGCTCAGAATTTTACTTAGAATCCAAATATGTAATCACACAGGGTGTTCCATTTAAAATAGAGACGATACCACTAGTTTAGAGTAGAAGCGGCAACACCGCATAAACAAAAATATTTTTAAAGTGTAGATCATGCTTGTTTATCCCGGTTGCCAAATTTTCGAAATGATCCGCTTTTTGGTTCTCCATAAACGTCTAATACGCCATCCACCGTGGGACACCCTGTATGTACTACCATTTTTTTTTCTCTCAATATTCCGCTTCAATTTTTTCGTTCTATTTCTCAATTTTTATCTGGATTCTTGGGATGGCCTCTTATCCACCATTTTTTTTTTCTCAATTTTTCTAATTTTATTTTTTTTCTATTTAATTCGTATCGATATGCACAAATGAAACTCACTCCAAAATTTCTAGAATAGAGAGTACTTTGAACTGGTAGAGTATTCGTAGTACTCTACCAAGAATCAGTGAATTTCGAAAAGTATGAATTCTCTAGAGGACTCCGAACAGTGGGGGTAATGAAGATACTCCAAACAGTAAGAATATTCTAAAGTACTCCGAACAGATAGAGTACTCGGAATCCTCCAAACAGTTGGAGTACTCCGAAAAGTAAGAGTACTCTACAGATAGAAAACTCCAAACAGTAGGACTACTCTAGAGTATTTCGAACAGATACTGTACTCGTAGTACTTCAAACATTTGAAAGAACTGCAGTGTGGCTATTCTTGAAATCTCACTGGGAGAGTATTCCGCGATATTTGAGTGAAAGTGGGCGTCTCCCTTAAAATGAAAAATGTCTTCAGCTTCATTCTCAGTTGTGCGAAATTCGCTGTTTTTTGACATTGCTTTGACAATTTGACGTTTAATACAAGCATAAAAGATAAAACGTCAAATTGTCGAAGCAATATCAAAAAAAGAGCGAATTTCGCGCAAGTGAGGAGGTTAATTGGCGTCATATTGGTGTGTCAGCATTTCCGACGTCATAACTAATAGTCATCAGGGCCGAGTTCAGAAATAACGCACAGGGTGCGAGTGCGATTTTATGGGTGTGTCTGAATTGACAATAGGGTACTTGCGAGCATGTGCGACGTCACAACTCACAACGTATTATACCTAAGTTATGACGTCGGAAGGACATTTCAAAGCGTTGTATCTCCGTCAATTTTTGACTAAGGAAAAAAAGAAAAAACACGCGTTGACTTATTTTTCATGGACTATCGAAATTCGCAATAAAAAAATTTGATGCAAGGAGCCTATTGGCCATTGGGCCCATAGCACCGTCTAGCATTTTTGAACAGCTAGGGCGTCGCACCGGTGTCACATTCACACTGGGTGTGTCATTCCTGAACTCGCCCCAGCTGTTTGAACAGCCTACGTCAAGGCGAGAAATAACATGCTGCCTACGTCACAACTGGTGATTTGAGGGGCAGGGGAAGGGGGGATTTGTTCCACCACAAGCCTTATGAGGATGGGCTATCCGGTAGTACAGTAGTAGTGTGTATCATCCTTGGACAAGTATCGTGATCTCGACAGCAAATGGAATCCGTAAGCTGTGTTTTGAGTGGTTATCGACAACCTTGGGTTAAGGTAAATCTTACTCGGGTAGTTGGAGTGACTTAAACGCGATAAGAAACGCCCCACCCAAGGTGAATTGTGTCATTTGTTATCTCGGCACATATTTTATGTTTTGATTTCAAATCATGTACATTCGTAGTTTATTTATTTCTTTTTTGAAGCATCCCGATCCGTGAATGACTTAAGGCCGGGACACACTTATCATACAGCTTTTCGATTCGACTCCGGTTCGATTTTTCCTCAAGAATCGGAACGGGGTGATCACACATGTCATACTCGTTTCCGAGTTATTTCCGATTTCCGGTCCCCGCTCGTTACACTCGCCATTCGCCATTTTTGATTCAAACAATATCGCAAAAGATCCTGTGTGCGAAATGTTCAACAATTTCAGCAACTACGATTCAGTTATAGTTGTTTAAAAGAAGTGGGTACTCAGATGACGAACATCGAAGATCTTTTATGGAGAATAGCGGAAAACGCAAATTTTAGATACATGCTGCTTGGAAAAGAAGATCTGCAAAAAAATCAGCAAACTTGAACGAACACCAAGCGACACGTAATTCCATAGCTCGAAAAAGAATAGTTTGCAAATCGCACGATCGATCGGACCATGATCGGATGCAGGATTGGGGTCGGGTGGGAGTAGGAATGGGAACGTGCCGGAAAAGTGTGAACTACGCTGTTTGAAGTGACTCGGAAGGATGCATGATAGGTGTGTCCCGTATTCTCGTTCCCGAAAACGCTTACCGCTTTTTAGTCGCTCGGCACTTTCAATGTAAATTTACATTAGAAGTGCCGAGTGACTGAAAAGCGGTGAGCGTTTTCGAGGACCAGAGGCGATTTTCAGCTTGGAATGATTATTTATCGGTAAATACCGTGGTTATTCTTTTGGTTGACAACTTTGACAGCCAAGTGTGACGACGTCATAGCCCCCCACTATTCAAGAATCATAACCCAAGGAACTAATCGCTGAAATGATTTGGTTATAGCAGTATAGAAATATGTTTATTATTCTTATTTGTTTTTTCGTTTCAGCAACAGATTTTTGTTCAGGTACAAAAAATGGAGCTGAATCTCTCGTTAGTCTCGTTTATCGAACAGATTTTCTTTGGGGATGATCTAAACCTCGATCTAAACATGGTGAATTGCAGTGAGTGAGTGAATGTATACTTCTTTTATTGTGCCAGGCTACAACGCAACTGCAAAATCACAAAACACCAATACAAATTCCAAAAATAATAACAATAACATCAAAAAGCTGTAACCAAAAGATTAACTCAAGTCCAAAGCTGGGTTATAATCGGTTATAAATGGTAAATACCAAAAGCAAATCAGCTGATATGTGACGTCACAACTTCCCCTACTTTGGTTAAAACCGCGACGGCGGAAATGCATTGGTTATAACCAAATAATAATCATTCCAGGCTGAAAATCGCCTCAGAATACCGGCCTTTATCCAGACGCTGGATCAAGCTCGGGCGTCCTTGGTGAATGCAGCCCAAGTACTTCCCGAACAGTTAGAATGTTCGAACTACTCTGACTGTGCCGACTGTTCGAACACTAACTACATTAACTACTGTAGCTGCTTACGATCAAACCACTTTCTGAACTAACTTGAAGAAAATAACTGATAGCGATTTCCATTTGCAGAATCAGTGCAAAAAAAATGTATTTTTGTCCTTATATTTTACATTGCTTTTAGAAAAAGATTCGAATGTACTCAGTGCACACTGATCAACAAATGGAAATCGAAAACGCTAACTTAGGTCAGAAAATGGTCTGATCGTAAGCACTATTGATTCTGCACTAGTTTGTGCGGTTAGAGATTATTTAATAAACAATATTTCTACAGGGGAATTGTTTACAGACAAATCGACCCGAAACAGTATTATGAAATTTCCAATTCTAACAGATAGAAGAGTTGGAACAGAGGCAGTTCTAACTGATAGAATGGTCAAAGCAGATCGATCAGTTCGAACATGTAAACGCTGTATGATATTTGTTGCTTCGCTCCAAAAGTTCCGGATCGTTCGAATTCAACGCCTTATTTACTCTAGAGCACGTGACAGAAAACTGCTCCCTCCAACTTGCTATTCCTGGCAACACTGCTTTTTACAAACCACATGTTTTTTTTGTAAGGTTATGGTTGAATTTGAATGTTTGTTGTTTTTAAAAGTTATCTTTTTGAATTTATAAAATAAATTGAAATTTAAAATGGAGAACGAGCTGCTAGACCGTGATCCTCATAGCAACATAAACTTTACGCCTTGCGTGAGGTGGGTAAAGCGTAATGTGGCCCGTTCAGTTCCGCTAAATGTGAGTGTTTTCGGTCAATGTTTTACTCTATTTCTCTTTACCTTATCGGTTTTAGGTGCAATTATCCAAAAACGAATTGGTGGAAATTATCAAGGATACCAAGGAAAAGCTTGGGTAAGTCGTAAATTGCAAGACATAGGTACGATCAGGTACAATCTTCCATGGGTATTTTAGTATTGCTGAAAGTCGAGAAAGGACCGACTCTGAAGATGCTCCCATGGAAGCAGGAACGACTTCGACTTCAGCAGATGACGAGTTTAATTTTGCAGAATATGATAAAGATGGTAATTATGTACTTCTTTTTTTTTATAATAATTAGGTATTTATTTATTTATTTATTTATTTATTTATGCATTCACATTTACAAGATTAAATACAAATATTTCTTAACCTAAAATTGCCTTCTTGGCAGAAGTCTTAAATCTATCTTTTGAAACAGTAAAGAAGTCAAGTTGATGGCAAAATTTATTTACATTTCTGCTAATACGGTTTACTGGATTATACATAAAATACAGAGTACGACTCGGTGGGACTTGTAATAGTGGAGCATTACGAGTTATGTAACCAGGAACATGAAATTTTATTACTGAAAGACATTCTGGGCTACAAATATAATTATTGATAACATTAAATGCAAAACATACATGATAATACTCCCTTCTGTCCCTAAGAAAATTCAATTGCAAATACTTATATGTATCTTCCACTGATAAAAAAATACCCTTTCTACTCAGTTTGTAACGTACAAATTTAATAAACCTACGCTGAATGCTCTCAAGGCGATCTATGTATATATTAAAAAATGGTGACCAAATTATGTTAGAAAACTCGAGGATAGATCTCACAAAGCTAACAAAAAGAATTTTAAGTGTCTTTACATTTGTAAAATCCTGACAAGATCTTTTAACAAATCCCAACATTCTACCCGCACGGGCTATGACTTTTTCATAGTGCTCAGAAAATGTTAATTTTGTGTCTAGATACACACCCAGGTCCTTCACAACAGAGACCTCCTTTAACAGACTACCACCCAACATGTAAGTCATAGGGAAGTTATTTTTAAGCCTACTAAACCGCAAAACTTGACACTTTTCCGTGTTTAGAGTCATGCTATTAAGAGTACACCATCTGTTTATCCTGTTAAGATCATTCTGGATTTTAACTTGATCTTGTTGTGACAGAATCCTGGCATATATTTTTAGGTCATCAGCAAATAATAAATATGCAACTTCCAAGAAAGAACAAATGTCATTTATAAAGATATTAAACAAAGGGGGACCTAAATGTGACCCTTGTGGAACCCCTGATGTGACAAAAAATATATTAGACAGATAACCTTCTATCCTTACTTGTTGGTACCGATTCGATAAATAAGATTCCATCCATTCCAATAATGACCCAGCAATACCATACTTTCTCAATTTTGATATCAAAACAGCATGGCTCACTCTATCAAAAGCTTTGCTGAAGTCCATATAAATGGCATGAACCTCAGCACCTTCCACCATAGCAGTAGAAATAAAGTTGGTATATAAAAACAGGTTGGTATCAACAGAACGACCAGAGGTAAAACCATGCTGCCCTGATACTGTTATCTTCTCAAAGAACCTTTTTAGTCTTATCTCAACACAATGCTCAAATAATTTAGGAACAGCTGAAAGAACACTAACTGGACGGTAATTGCCGACATTTCCTTTGTCCCCAGATTTAAAAATTGGAACTACAAAAGATTTTTTCCATATGGCTGGAAACTCACCAATTTTTAGTGATCTATTAAATATTATATACAGTGGCATATAAAGAGATTCAGCACAACATTTCAAAACAGATGGAGGAACACCATCTGGACCCATAGGCTTTGAACTGTCAAGCTCTTTTAGTACTTTCTCTATTTCAGGGGCACTCAGATACATATCTGAATAATCCTGGTCAAACTCCGGAATGCAGTCAGAGTCAGATAAATTTTGTGAATCAGAAGTATAAACAGAAGAAAAAAAATCCGCAAACAAATTAGAAATATCATTTCCATTATCCGCAACTCTGTCACCAAATTTCATAATCTTGGGACAATCACTCCTTCCCTTTTTTGTTTTAATAAAATTCCACAAGTGTTTAGGGTTGTTATTAATTGAGTTTTCTGAATTTTCAATAAATTTGTTATAATCCATTTCAGTTAAAGTTTTGCATTGTTGCCTTAGCCTAGAAAACACTGTGTAATCCTCTTGCCTGCCGGTGTGTTTAAATCTTTTATGAGCTTGTTTTTTGTTAAATATAAGGTTTTTTAGTTCTTTTGAGAACCAGGCAGGAAAAGTACTAACAGTTGTGTGTTTTACAGGTACGTATTTTTCAAAAGCTTCAAACAAAATATAATAAAATTTCTCAACCAAATTGTCCATATTCCCCACTAAGAGTGAATACCAGTCAATAGATAAAAAATACTGGTTTAATCTGTAGTGATCTGCATTTTTAAAATCATAATTCCAACTACAATCAGGCTTTAAACCCTCACTGAAATCCATAGAAATACATATTTCCAGTGGAGGATGATGGACATCTGGCTTAACTAATCCTACAGTTCTACTAAGTGACAGCACTTCTAAATCAGTAAAACAAAGATCTAAAGTTTTACCATTGTCATTTTTTACACCATTATACTGGGCAAGACCATAATATGCCATATTATCACACACTAGTGTCTCTGTAACACCAGTAACATTGCCAGGAAGTAAGCCAATATACTCCTCGGATACACGCCAATCTAATCTTGGAAGGTTATAGTCTCCTATCACCATAATTTCATTAAACTGGTTGCGAGCCATCTCAACAGATTCAATATGAGCAGTATAGACAGACGAATCCATACTAGGAGGAATGTATACTGTACTAATGCAATAATGTGACTTTTCCACTAGCACAGCAACCCAAACCTCTTCCACGGTAGGGTTATTTATTGCAACTATTTGAGATTTGAACTCACTTTTCACTGCTATGAGTACTCCACCTCCGGACTTTTTAGAACTGTACACTATGTAATTACCAGAAAATAGCTCCGAATCATTTATATCAGAATCTAAATTTGTTTCAGTCATAGCAATTATACTGTAAGACTCAGATATCACAGAAGTCAGAAATTCTTTTAATTTAGTTTTTAGACCACGGACATTTTGGTAAAATACTGTTAAGCTGTCCTACACGAGTAACATCGGAAACCAGCTCAGTTCTTGACCATATCTTTATTAGAAAAAATCTTGGAGCAAACCTAGAGTATTCTTCTTTTTTATTAAGATCATCTATTACAGACCATTACCCAATCATGTTAAACATTGATATCTTGCACATAGATACTTCATCCGAGACTTCATCTGACTGTATCCCCAAAACACATACTTTTTTTAAACTGGATTATGATCTTTTTGGCAGACTTATTTCAGACCAAGACTGGAGCAGTGTTTTAAGCCCAATTTATAAACTTACCGTCGAACGTTAACGTTTGCGTTTAGCACGCCGTTACCAAGTGAATATAGTGCAGGAAAAAGTCGCTTCCTTCATGAATTTTTTTTTTTGAGGTATAACCAAATGAAACCTTTATTACATCACTAGATACGTCATTGGACATCCGAAATGGCCGTTTTCAACTTTTTTTAACGGTATCGATTATTTCTAAATCAAAAAATATGTAAAATTTGTGAAAATAATTGTTTCGTACTTTTTTACACATAACTCGTAATATCTCGGAAAGTAATTGAGACAATTGAACAATTTTTTTTTTAATCGATGGAGAAAATGTGGACGAACGTAACTGTGCTAATTCGGTTTCCTCGAAATACATAGTTTTTTCTGCATATTAGGAGGAAACTCGGACAGATAGTTTTTTGCAGCACTTTTTTCGGTAAGCGAGAAACTTTTTTGTTTTTAGGAATTTTGCCATACTATCGCGTATGAATTAAAGGTAAGGCTCCGAGAAAGTTTAAAAAAAAAATTCAGTACGATACGATGCCTACTGTTCAAGTTATCGGTACTTGAAGTTGAAAACATCTCTGGCCACGCTACCCTTCTCCCTTGACGCGCCTCCTGTGCGAGTTTCCTTCCAATATGCAGAAACAACTATGTATTTCGAGGAAACCAAATTAGCACAGTTACGTTCGCTCATGTTTCCTCCATTGATTAAAAAAAAATTGTTCAATTATCTCAATTAGTTTCCGAGATATTGCGAGTTATGTGTAAAAAAGTACGAAACAATTATTTTCACAAATTTTACATATTTTTCGTCTAGAAACAATCGGTACCGTTAAAAAAAGTCGTAAACGGCCATTCCATATGTCCAATGACGCATCTAATGGTATCACAAAGGTTTAATCTGGTTATAACTAAAAAAAAAAAAAAATGAAACATTTTTCACCCTATTTCGCTGCACTAGTATCAGAAATCTCATAGACGCAAACGCAAACGGAATCCCGACGTCAAGTTTATAAATTGAGCTTTAAATTTGTCTGATGCTGATATAGCCGCGCAGAAATTTTCAGATATAGTGACTAGTATTCTTAATGACTCTAAGGTGCATAAATCATTCAAAATCAGTGAGAGGAGAAAAATTAAGCCCTGGATCACAAATGGGATTGTCAACTGTATCAAAAGGAGGGACAAGATGAAGAAGAGGCTTTTACTACATTTCAGTGAGAATGACAAGCAAGTATTTGCAGAATATCGTAATAACCTCTATAAAATAATACAAAAAAGAAAACATGATTATTACAAGGATAAAAACGACATAAAAAAAATATATAAAATTGTGTCAGAGGCGTCTAACGAGAACTATAGAAAAAGTAAAGATAACATTGAAATCAAGAATAATGACATCAATTTCGGAAACTACAAGGATATGGCTGATTTCTGTAATAAATACTTTGTGAAGGTAGGCGTTCAAATGTGTAAAAAAATTACTACACCAATTACCCCGACCATGATTGAATCAACTGCACTTTCTTCTATGTTTTTAAGACCAACGGACTCATTGGAAAAAATGAAACACATAAACTCACTAAAAACTAAATGCGCTCCAGGAATTGATGGAATCAGCTCAAAGATAACAAAATATTTCCATAGGCACTTAACTACACCCTTGGTTCATATAATAAATTTAATATTTCGTACTGGTAAAGTTCCAAATAATTTTAAAACTGCAGTGGGGGTAACATTCATAAATCTAGCGACAGGACAGAAATAAGCAACTATCGCCCTATCAGTGTTATTAACACCTTCACACACGAAAAATGTCTCAAGGATC